TTTTTTTAATATTGTTATTACCAATGCAAAGGAAAAAAAAGCGCGAGGCATTTGAAAACCTCAGACGGCTAGAAATAACAAAATGAATTCGTGAGCGTTAGCGTTTTCCAAAGCATTTCCGTTAGGCGAATGGCCCCCAGGCCTATTACGAAAGTAATAGTAACTTCGTCTAGGTTTGCCATTTTCTCAAATATAAAGAATGGACTTAGAGCTGAATTAGGCCAGACATAGGTATTTTGTCCCCACAAAATTCCGACATCCTTTATTATTTTAATGACGAAAAAAACGGAGGAGGTTCTCAAGTCGACGCTTACATTTTTCTCGATCTGAAATGTGAGCAGTGCCTGTAGGTGAACATAGACCTGTTATTCGTCTCAAGAGCTGGAAATTTTTGGAAAATCCAAAAGTGCACGCCTCACACGCGTATTGTATTACAAATTGAAATTAATTTACTAGCAGAGAAAATTATTGAAAAATCTTGTTTTTGAAAATGAATGTTAAAAAAAATGTTTTTACGACATTCAATTTTTATTTTTGTTTTTTATTCTGGCTTGTTATGTACGCACCCATTTTCGTCCCTCATCTTGTCCCCAATGTATATTAAATTCCTAAAATATCATATCATCAAGTACAACGGACGAACAAACCCATAAATCAATCAAATTAATTCAAAGATAGATAACCCTAAAGGGCACATCTAATTTTCGGGAATATAAGTACAATGGACAAACAAACCCATAAATTAATCAAACTAATTATCTTATATTTTAAATAATTTTCGGAATATTTGCGAACGTGATCACGGCATCCAAGAAATGCCTTATCACAAGACCAAGGGTCATTGCCAATCGATCCATGATCCGTATATAAATCCCATAATATTTTACTTGATCAGTCATTCTCATCCCATCGTCGTTCATGTAGTATATTAACTTCATCAGAACAAGTCATTGTGCCAAGTTGTTAGTTGTTATAAGTAGTTATTAGATCAATCTTTAATTACTTGTAAAAGGAGGGAAAATAAAAGAAAGTTGAAGATTCAACACATACCTATATTTTCTTTACGTCGAAACACCACCACTAACGCTACAAAGAGGGTATATAACAGGCTGTATAAAATAAACAGAATATAATATATTTCGATAGCAAGTTGCCCACCCCCACCCACTTGCCACCACAAATAGTAATTTTCTTATCAAATAATTATTCATGATAATGAAAATTATTATACTTTTCCCATTTTTTTATTATTATCTATACGCGTAAATGTATCGTTTATCCAAAGAGCTCTAAAAGTATACATAGCCACTTACACAGGCTTCATCCATAATTCGCCAATGGAAAACCATAAACCAGCTGAGCCCTAACTTTCCTACTATCACGCGGTCTAAATTCGTAGGTATGAAGTACCACTCAAACCTATCAAATCATATTTTCATGAGGACACATGATTAATATGCATGTAACGCTCCTGTGACGTCATATTATGAGGCGTAGGCGAGCGGACAGGCGCCGAGACTTCTCGAAACAATTTTCTTAAATTATATTATTTGACAAAAAACAATATAGGTATCCTATAATGTTTTTTTGTCAAACAAATCCTGCCTTTTTCTATGTTCTTTCCTTTCGCGGGCCTGCTGGAAGAAATTTCATTAAGAAATAAGCAGTGCCCTTGTACATGTCTCTTGTTTCTATTTTATGTAATATTTTATTGTGTGTGTACAAAATAAATAAATAGGTTTTTATGTCAAATAATATAATTCATGTGTCATAGGATAATCGATTTTTTATAAAAATCCTAGGGATTTTGCGAACAAGCGGATAATTAGACAATGGTGATGTAATTGCTCAATCTTACTTATCTTACAACATTAGTGTTTGACCATACCTAACCTAGTGAACCCAAGAATATGTAGGTATAATAAGCCAACAATTATTTTCGCAATCTTAAGCTTAAGTTTACAAGCTACAAGCAAGTTTGCTAGCAGCTTGTAAACTCGCCCCGTGTCATCGGCTTTTTTACCATCTGCTACTCGATGATACTGAGGCGAGTTGCGTTTTCGCAAAAATCAGATAATTTTCAGTCAGATTAAGAAATGATATCAAGATTGACTAATTATTCGGGTTTTCCCAAAATGCCTAGGATTCTCGCGAAAATTCGATTTATCAAATCATTATATATATGCCATATGTACACACACACACACACTTAAAACCATAGTCAGCGTCAATCAGTTTTTGGCGCAAGTCAACAAATTACAATAGAGTCTCTCAATACTATTTCAAAGTTTCAATTTAACAGTAAAAGTATTGTTCAATTAGTATTAGTAATTTGTTCTCAAATCATTGTAAAACACATTTCACAGAAAATTCACACCAGATGGCAGAAAATCAAAGATGCTGCTTGAGGGTAAAAAGTATATAAATAACAGCTCCCACACCAAAAAGACACATTTTGCTTTGAATTTGTCTGGAAACAATGAACATAGATGACCAGATTATAACCTTAAATAGTTTTTCCATATAATCCCTGCCTGTTGTTAGGCTTTTAAATCTATATAGGAGATATAACAGCTGATGCATTTTATGTCATTGCTTCAAGTCCAGCATGGGATTCATGACAACTTTTATGATTTTAATATTTAGTTCTTAAGTTTAGGTCAGCAGCAGCGGTTTTAATAAGATTTTGAATCAATTAGAACAATTACCAACCAGTCTAGTAACATTTCTTTCAATGTTTGGGGTCATACATTATTTTATGGTATAATATTGAAGGAATTATAAACCTTATTTATGATTTAACTTGTATGCTTTTCTTATCTTTAGATCTTTAGTATTTAAGAAGAATCTAATTGCTAATTTATAATATTTTTAATTATTTAAACTATTGCTAGTAATCAATTTAAAAAAATATATATATTATGATTTGGCTGTTGCGTAGCATGTCAAGCACTCTGTTATTATTATTTAGCAACTCAGTATGTACATATTAAAGGTTCTTTAGATCTTTAGTATTTAAGAAGAATCTAATTGGTAATTTGAACATTTATAATTCTTTAAACTATTCTTAGTAATCAATTTAAAAATATATATATATTATGATTTGGCTGTAGCATAGCATGTCAAGCACTCTGTTATTATTAATTAGTCACTCAGTGGAGTCGATTCTGGCGTGATACTCTAAATTTAAAACTAAATTTAACGTCAGTCTCTCCTTTTTATTCTGTATAGAGAATGACAAGGATACACTGTTGACAAATTTAAGTTGAGATTTAGAGAACCGTGCCAGAATCGACACCAATATGTACATATTAAAGGTTACATCCTTGTTTTTGTGTGATAATAAAGATAACTTTGTACTGAATGTTTGTCACCTGTTTGTACATCAAATAAATGAATTATAAAGTGCTAAGTAAGTAGTAGTAGTGTATACTAGTTGAGATGACCAATGAATGAAAAATGACTATTTAAGTAATCATTCTTATTAAAAATAATAATCAATTATTCCTCACCATAATCCAATAAGATAACAAAAGTAAAATGTTACAATACAGGTTCATAAAATAGCGTATGGCAGGTTAATACCTGAACTAGGGTATATCCTATATATCTGTACTATCAATCATCTAAGATCTTGGTAAAAGAAAGAAATTAAGAAAACTACTGATTATTTACTCACTTTTATTTCTTTAGTCTCATTCCGCTTTAGTATATATTTTAAACTTTTGTTTTGTTTTTCAACCATGTGGTATGTATATCTAATTGTTATGATAACAACACCGGAAATGGTCCTGCCCCATTTATCACTTGAATGTAAATAACGATATCAATTTACATATTTTTATTGTTCAGAGCAGCTAAATTTACTTTTGAATTGGAATGATAGCTCAGTAAAAAGAATTTTCCATTTTATTACTAAAAATTACAACTCAAATTTGTGCTTAATTCAAATAGGACAATAAAATATATGATGTTTTGACTAACATATATTTAGGTTATGTGAGATTAGTGTTGGAAAATTATACTTCCAATGCTTTAAATAGATACATATTCAATTAAAATATAAATTTCAGTATGATAAAAGCAATAATAAAATATCTTAAATACACCAAATACTTTCCTTCATAATAACTCTTTTAGTTTATAGTTTTATTAAAGTATTGGTTCTAGAACTTAATTTTCCACACCTGCCCAACACTTACTTATTAGTTATTAAATTTAGTATCATTAAAAAACAGATGGCTGTAGGATTGAGCAGTGGGATCTCAGACTATATAGTGACCAGACCCCTGTTTCTGTTTTTTTTTTTAATTTTGCTGTTTAAACCGATTAGAGCAAATAATAAGTTGATTGCAGTTATAAATGTTAAGATAACATATTATAAAGAATTAGGCATGATAAAACACACCAAATAGGTTTTGTGAATGAAACTATGATTACCATTCCAACTTTTCATAACAGGAAATAGGATAAATAATTGTTACGGATATTTTTTAGATTAGTTGATCATTTAAATTCTTTTAGGCTGTCATTTGAAACATTAAATGTTTCTTTTTTCTAGTTACCCTCAAAACAAAATAGAACAAGCACCTACAATTAACTCATTATATTTCCAACTTGGGTAACAATGAAGTAAATGTGTCTTACATAAAATGAATTAGTGGGCAGAAATCAACTTTTTACATCCACCAGCAGCAAGGCACGTTACATGTCATCCCTCCAGTCGGTTCACATGACATAATAGCAAAACTGTGTCAAGTTGCATTGTATATGCCGTGAGACTGAATTATGTAAAATATTTCAACACTAATCAATTGCATTTCGCGATATAACCTGACAGAGAATTGGATATGTTACGTAGTCCAGTAACAAACATGTTATAAACGAATGCTATCAATTATTCAGGATCAAAATGTTATCAACCTATTATAGAAAATCCATCCGTAATCACTAAAAAGGCAAAAAGACATAGGATTTAAGGATATCATATTAATACTCACAATCTAAATGTTTCTTTTTGGGTGCAATCATTTCTTCGGTGGTGGCTTTGCATACCGATTTCGCTAAACCCTGGCCGGCTATACTGTGCCGCGCGGCCAAGAACCTATCATTTATAGTCTGACCCGCCATCCTCACGTTCAGTCCTGACATAAACTATTATCACCTCAAAACAACACTTATTTTCTGCGATTTTTACAATAAGTTCACAAAATCAACGATGACGGGTAAAATATGTCACCGCCCCCCCGACTGGCACAATACTAAGTTTCAAGATGGCGGCAGTGTGAAGAATGGAATGTTACCATACAAAAATATTGCGATCGCAAATGAATCTGAATAAAATGTCAGGACATGAACTATAATTGAAGAGATGTGCTATCATCATCTATTTTATGTGTATAGCACTGTCTCGCACGCTGGATCCAATAAGACGGATAGTGCGTAAAGGAATTTATAGTATTTAAATTAATCTCTAGAGAAATATTACTATTATAGATATTGATGTCGATTCTAGCATGATTCCCTAAACTTAAAACTAAAATTAACAGTCTCTCATTTTCATTCTTTAAAGAAAATGACAAGGATACACTGTTGTCAACTTAATATTAATATAAACATGGCTGTTACTTTCTTTCAGCGAGTGTACATAATGTAAAATTACAAGAAAATATGAATACACAGTAAAGTATGTAGCAATATTAATACACAGTAAAATAATTTCAAACAAAAATAAATATCGAATTCAGACATGCAAAGCCACAAAAATTTTAAAAATAATACTTACCGATCCATTGGTGTCGATTCTAGCATGATTCTCTAAACCTAAACTTAAATTTGACAGCAGTATATCCTTGTCATTCTCTATACAGAACGAAAAGGAGAAACTGATGTTAAATTTAGTTTTAAGTTTAGACAATCACGCCAGAATCGGGACCATTGTTTACTTATAAATTAGTATTTGAGTAAAATGAAGTCGCTACAAACACAAGGGGTAAAAGACAACTCTGATCTATTTGACAAGCATGGCCCCGCCTCTAATTTATTTATTCAAAAAACATGCCGACTTACAGAAGTAGTTCCGCAGTTCTGCATCAGCAGGTTCAAATTAATTAAAATTTTAAATTCAATTCAAATTGTACATTACAATAAAATCAAAATTAAATTAATAGGTATATAATTGAATTTATAATTTTATTATATTATAATAAAATTTTATTATATTATAATAAAATTAATTGATTATACTCTAATATCAATGTGAATATTTATTTACAAGATATTTACAAGCTTTTTTAATAATATGTTCGAAATGGTCGGCATATAAATCTATTTGATTCCACTGAGTGAGCACGCTGTCGATCAAGCGAAGTACGCGTGGGGGCATGTCCAGCGTGTAAGGTCCGTGCAGTGTTGCCAGGTCTCCAGATTTTACAGGAGATCTCCTGTTTTTCTGAAATTTCTCCTGTTCTACTGTTTTTCTACATGAATCTCCTGTTTTTTTAGAAAACGATTTTCTTTTTTAAATTGCATGTTGAGTTGCATTTTTCGTCATTAATAATGTAGATAACCTTAATAATTATAAAATAAATGTATTTGTCTAAAGAAAAAATAGCTTTGAGGAGCGGCAGAAGCCATAGAAACACATTCGTTACTGATCTTTATCTTGATTTGTTTTACCATTTCTAGGGGGGGGGGGGGTGCAAACCGGAAAAAGTACACCCACACCCCTGCATCTATTGTATTTTTCTATAACGCCTCCCGATTTTTAAAAATCGGACCTGGCAACACTGGGTCCGTGTGTCGGGCACGTCGAAGTGGCGCGGTCGGCGGCACGGCGCGACCATCGCCTGTTCAGGCCAAGGGATATGTAAAGGTATTAAGAGGTTCGCCCTGGACACTATAAGCTACTATCTACCCTATGATGCAATTCGGAGACGAAGTATACAAACATAAGCATTTTACGCCTAACAGCTAGTGTCACAAGATCCACCACTCCAGTGTCGAAAAGTGAGGAATTTAGATATGGGTAATAGCCATGACGGCGTTTGTAAAGCCAACGTGCAAACTTTCGTTGGGTTTCTTTAATTCTCACGTCGGTCCCATATAATAGCAGCGTATTCTAGTTTACTACGGACATATGCGCCGTAGGTATAAGACGTTAGGCACGGGCGAATTATTAAATTCGGAGGCAGTCTGAACTACGAAACCTAACATCTTACTTGCCTGTTTGCATGTTTCTATTACGTGTTTGTGGAAGTCTAATTTATCGTCTAAAATTAATCCCAGGTAACTAACTCTGTTGCCAGAGGTGTATAGAGAGAGATAGAGCCTATCTTATAATCTATTTTTTTTAATGGGGAATGTTTGTGAGAGTATGTAATAATTTTACATTTGGAGCTATTAAAGGGGAGATGATTTGCTAAACTCTGACACCGCACCTATATCGGTTTGTAAAGTTTGTGCATCCATGGCATCTTTTATGTCTAACAACCACTTCAAAACCAACCACTTAGAAACCACTTCAAGAGAAGGCATCGAGCAGTCTCAATAGAGAACGGCAAGTCATTTATCATTATTTGAAAAAATGTTGGACCTATTGTGCTTCCTTGACTGACTCCGGATATTGTAAAGTATTCCGTAGAATTAAAACCCCACACTCTTACAAACTAGCGTTGTTATTCAGGTAATAATAAAATCTTCAGCAGCCCTGGCGTGAAACCTATCAATGCTATTTTTTTAATAGTATATCATTGTCTACTAGGTCGCAAGCTTTTTTAAAATCGAAGTAAGCAGCATCTCCCTGCCGACCCGCATCCATTTCTGCAGAGATGTAATCCACTAACTCAATTAGATTTGTCGAGGTTGAACGAGCCCTACTAAATCCATGCTGACTACAACACAGTTGACTTTCAACTTGTCTGGTAATATGACTATTAAGAATAGTTCCAAATATTTTTGAAAATACTGAAAGGACCGCAATCGGTCTGTATTATGAACTATCCCAGTTTGACTCTTTACCTTTTGGCACAGCCGATTGAATTCCTTTCCCTCTGACTTGTATTTCTATAAGTAGTGGGCAAACTCACCGTCACGACAGTGAGCGCCACGACGCGGTAATATGTTTCTGGCTTATGCGGGCTACTGACATACGGGTCAATCTAGGGCGCACAGCGGTCGGGGCAATATCGGCTTGTCTCTACACATATGCCAGTTATTCAGTGTTCGGGTATAAGTAGAGCTAAACACACGCATTGATAATGTCCTCAGTATTATCAAAAGATCGGTAGGTAGGGCCTTGGCTCTTTCTTCTTCTTCTTCTTGTTGCTACGGGCGTTTCCGCAACTCGACTTCCTTATGGCGCCTGTTTTGCGTGAGGAGGGTGTATGGCCGGAATCACTCCAGCCAGCCCAGCTCCCCCAGGAACGCCGCCCCCAGGGCCTTCACATTGGTGACTGCCTCTTGAAGGTTTCCCGGTGAGCCGAGGTATTTCGCCCGGTATTCGGCCACTCCGTTGCATTCCAGCAGAACGTGAGTAGCTGTTTCTTCTGCCTCCATGCATCCTCTGCATAGGGGGCTGTCCGTGACACCTAAGTTGAAAAGATGTCTGTTAAAATGTGCATGTCCAGTGATAGCACCCGTTACCATGCGCAATGTAGGTTTGCTTAGCTGTAGGAGAGTTTTGGAGAAGGCAGCGTTCACCCGTGGCAAAGCGAGCTTGGTCTGCCTGCACGTCTCCAAGTCGAGCCAGTATTGCTGGTGTATTTCGGCAGTGTGCTCGCGGATTTTATTGACGAGACAGCTAACCGGTATTGGGACGATTGGTTCAGGACCTGTTGGGGTCGTATCAGATCCCTTCTGGGCCAGCTCATCCGCAGCGTCGTTTCCGCGTGATCCACTGTGTCCCTTGATCCATTGGATGGTAATAGAATTGCTTGACCCTACCTTGTTTAAGGTTTGGTGGCATTCTTGTAGGAGGCTCGATCTGACTAAACAGGCATCTAGAGCTTGTAGGACTGATTTACTGTCGGACAGTATTCGTATTTCCTGACCTGTTACCTTTCTTGAAAGGATCGCTGTTGCCGCCAGTGTGATGCCCATACATTCAGCTTGGAACACTGTGTTGTATGGGCTTAAGGGGAACGCGATGTGTATGTTGAGGTCCTCAGAGAAAACACCCGCGCCCGTGCCCGATGAGGTTTTAGAGCCGTCGGTGTAGATCATGAGAGCCTTGTGTGTTACCTTTGGATCGTTGTCATCCAGTAGATGTATTCTGTACTTTTTGTCAAATATGAAGGCGGGTATTATTTTGTCACATGCAGCATCTATGAGCGGAGTGTTTACCCATTCCTTCAGTATACCGTTGAGATGCTTTGCTCTTTCGAACCTTACCAGTCCAAACTTTTGTAGTCTCAACGCTGTTTTAGCCGCTTCCTGTCTTATGTAGATATGGAGCGGTGTGATGTTTAAAATAACTTCCAGTGCTGCGGTTGGAGCTGTACTCATGCACCCGGTCACCGCGCTGCATATCTGCAAAGCTGCATATCTGGAAGCTTTGTAGTTTGTTGACACAAGTAGTCTGGATAGATCTCGGCCACCATATGATGGCGCCATAACTTACCATTGGTCGTATGACTGTGTAATATAACCATAGGAACAGTTTTGGTGCAAGACCCCAGCGCTTCCCTAACATTTGACGGCATTGCCAAAGTGTTACGCTGGCTGTCTTGATTTTGTGTTCCACATGGTTACTCCAGTTTAGCTTACTGTCAAGTATAAGGCCTAGATACATTACCTCCTTCGACAGTTGTAGTGTGATACCAAACAGCTTCGGCAAGTTGAAAGCACCTACGTCACGTTTGGTTGTAAACATTACCAGCTCTGTTTTTGTTGGATTAACTGTGAGGTCGTATTTCCTGCACCAGCATTCAACCAGTTTCAAAGCACCTTGCATGGTGTTACAGGTAATGCTGGCGTGGGTGCCTAGGGTAAGTATAGTAATGTCATCTGCATACCCTTTGGTGTAGTAGTGGTTCGAGTTTAGCTTGGTCAGCAGGTCGTCAACTACGAGGTTCCACAGAAGTGGCGAAAGAACCCCTCCTTGCGGACATCCTCGTGCCACCAGTGATCCTCTGCTGTCCTCACCTTTTACCCGAACTATTCTATTGCGAAGCATGTTAACTGTCCAGTCAATGATTTGTTGCTCTACTCCGTGTCTCCTGAGAGCAGAATCAATGCTGGTGAAGTTGGTCTTATCGAAAGCACCCTCTATATCGATGAAGGTTCCGAGGCAGATAAGTTTATTTTGAAGGGCTTCTTCTATCTTACCGACTAACTGATGGAGAGCCGATTCAGTAGATTTACCTGAACTGTAGGCATGTTGATGTTTGTGTAGTGGGGCAGTGATTAATGCTCCACTGCGTAGGTATCTGTCACATAGCCTTTCCATTGTCTTAAGTAAGAAGGTTGTTAGGCTAATGGGCCTGAAGGATTTAGGGTTAGTATAGTCGGTTTTACCCGGTTTGGGTATGAATACTACCTTGACCTCCCTCCACAGATGTGGAGTGTACCGATGAGCCAGACATGATCTTAGTATACGAGTAGCCGCATCGACCACGTCCTGTCCGCCCCATTGTAGTAGTGCTGGAAAGATGCCGTCAGAGCCAGCAGATTTGAAAGGCGCAAAGCAGTTAATAGCCCACTTTACTCCCTCAGGCGTAATTACCGTCTCTGCTAGTCTCCAGCATCCTTCTGTTGTACTTGGAGGTTCATCTTGCCAAGTCACCTGCTCTGTAAGCTGGCAGTCCGGAAAGTGGGTTTCTAGGAGGATAGCGTCGCAGTCAGCACGATTGTGGGACAATGTGCCGTCAGGTCGACGCAGGCTTCCCAGCACGCCAGGGCCTTGCTTGGCCAGCAATTTCCTTACCCGGTTTGCCTGGTTGGTGGAGCTTATCTCCTCGGTGAAGTTCCTCCAGGAGGCTGTTCTCCAGTATCTGATACGTTTTTTGTACTTAGCTTTGGTAGCTTTGTAGTTGTCCCAGTCTGTGTCGCTGCATGTATTCATTGCTCTGTTAAGGCACTTCCTCACCTTTCCTCTCAATCTCTCGAGCTCCGGCCCCCCCAGTGGTGTTTTCCAGATACTCTCGAGTTCGGGAGTCTAAGGGGGCAGGCCTCTTCGTAGCAACGCGTTATGCTGTCTGTCAAGTGTTTTAACTGTTGTTCTAGCTGCTCCGTGGTTTCAATTCTGCCCTTACCGGAGTTGTTTCTTAGAAGGTCCGCCAGTAGTTGTGCGTAGCGGTGTTTATCGGTTTTCCGAGGATACCTTTGGGGTGTAGGAGATAAGAGTTCCTACCTGTAGTGTAAAACGGATCCAGCGGTGATCTGAGCATGATGCCTCATTGGAGACATGCCAGCCAGATATAGCTGTTGCCGCTTTTGGTGTCGCGAGGGTCAGGTCTATGATGGTCTTGCACCGTCTGCCTACGAAGGTAGGTTCATTGCCTGTGTTGATTAACTCTAGGTTAGTAGTCAGGAGGAATTCAAATAATTGGTTACCTCTGTTGTTGCTTTGTTCCATTCCCCACACAGGGTGATGGGCATTGGAGTCTGTCGCGATGATCAGTTCTACGTTTTCCCGAGCACAGAAGCGGACCAGAGACGCAACGTTTTCTGGTGGGGCCCGCTCGCTGTCAGGCATATATGCAGAGGCTATGATCACGTCACAACTGTTATTATCTTGGTTTAGGGTCAGTTTTACAGCGCAGAGATCTCTGGAACAGAAATTCATTAAGGGCTGTGTTCTGATGTTTTTGGAAATGTATATGCAGGACCTTACGTCGCTAGTAGTGGCTTGAACGAGCTTACCTCCTATGCTGGAGAGTCCTCGCACCGTGCCACTCCTAATCCACGACTCCTGGATTAGTGCGACTGCTGTGTTGTTGGTCTCCATCCACCGCCGAAGCTGAGCCGTAGCGGTTACGCTGTGGTGGAGATTTATTTGCAGTATGTTTGCACTACTGCAGAGGGACGCCATCGTCCTGGCAGTCGACGTCCTCAAGCCCCAGCCCGTCGAGCTCCAGGAGACACTCCTCACTAAGCGGCGAAGACGCCACCTGCGAGGGTCCCGGAACTTCGACAGCCGGTGACGAGGCACGTAGAACGACGGTGTCCGTGGGGCCAGCGCTAGATGTAGATGGTGTTGGGGGCGCTGGTGTAAGTTTCGCCGTGGTTTGAGCCCCGAGTGGTGCTGAGGGGTTGGACGTCGGCAGAGTGTCGACGTACTTCCCCTTGGCGTCCCTGAACTTCAGGTACACCGACCCAAACATAAAGCTGAGTCGGCGTCCCCTAGCCAGGATCGCAGGCACAACGTCCTCAGGGATCGAAACCACAACGAATGTGGCCCCGATGGAAGGCTGCTGTTGGATGCCGTTAAGCAGCCAACGTTCGGGTGTCAGGTCTGGATTCCCGATCTGTAGGCATTTGCCTAGCAACGCCTGATCGTGTTTCCAGAGCTTAGGCAGCACAAAACCACACCTGACTCTCTTGGGGATCTCGTCGTCCCGGAGGACAACAAGCTCTCCCAGGTCCGAGTCGTGGAGGTCTCGTACCACCTGTTGGGACCACCCAAACGTTGCGGTGTTGGTGCAAGTAAAGCGAAGGCACCCGTCCGCGTAGAGGGGTTTCCCGCTAAATGCAAGACCCTCCCTCATACAGGCCGGACGTTCCGTGCTCATCGCTGCCTGTAAAAAGGCTTCCTCGAGCTTCTCCTCAATTTGCTCCGCCGTCGGTCTCGAGATAAACCCGGTCTTCGACGTGACGGCGCACCTGATGAGAGCCAAGGAGGCCGCTGCAGCTGCGTAGGATTCTGGGGCGGTCTCGGTCGCCGTCGTCTTAGGCCGTTTGGATTCGCCTCGAGGAGACACTGTCTCATCGAGCCTAGCCCGCTTGGCCCCAGACTTCGTCTTCGCGGGTCCTTTCCCCTTCTGCTTTGGGCGGTCCAGCTTCCGACTCGGGCCCGGCATCACCTGGGGATGCTTGGGCAGCTGGCTGCCTTTCGCTCCCCCTGGAGTTCCAGAGCCCTTGTCTTCTGACTGGGCAGTACGGTCGCTAGCAGAGGCCGTCAAACGGGCGGCCCGTTTGAGCTGCCGTCTCCTTCGCGTCCGCTCCCTCTGCTTCTCCAAACGCCTAGAGGTCTGACCGGATGGTGCAGGGGTCTGAGTTTCCTCTACCTTCCTAGCTCCTTTCCTGGTCACGACCGTCCAGTTCTGCTCTAGCAGATGTAGGGTGTCCTCAATTCGAGGTGTGGTGGTGCTTTTCTCAAGCACGCATTCCGATTTCTCGGTCTGCATGCGAGTAGCAGTGCCCTCTGGTTTCCCATCGGGTGTTGGCGGAACGTTGAACCTGTTGGTGTCCATAGTTCGTGTGTGTTAACTTCATCCAGTCAGCTTCCCACCCTCCTTGGAGCCCGCACATTTGGGAGTGCCCATAGTGGTGCACTAGGATTACCGACTGGATATAGGAGCAGAGAGTTGGTGTCAGGTGCGACATCGGAAGCTCGAAATGTGTGGCTGGTTTACCGGTTCAGAGTACCCCAGTTGTTCCACACACCCTTGCCTCGTCAGCATGACCCTAACCATTCAGAACGGCAAGCCGCCCCGGACCCCTCCACTCCTCGCTGCGACCCTCTGACGGGACGCGTGACCGTTTCCTCTCTGGCGCTACCCAAAGAGGCTACCGTTTCGGTTGAAATCCGGACCAAAGAGGGCGTGTTGTGTCGCGAAGGTACTACCGCCGACCTCGCTTCACTCAACCCTCCAGGACTCCTTCATCCCCCCTTATGGCGCTCAACTGCGCAGGCCATAGCGCAGGAGAGGCTAATAGTCTACCGGGCCGCCTCCCATTTTCCCGGTAGAGCCGAAGGCCTTTGTTAGGGTCGGCCTTAAGGAGTGACAGGATTCAGGATGAGGGAGGGGTTAACGATTAATTGGAGTTGGAGAGAAGGGAGTGCGGGTCGCGGGAAATGTTTCCCTTGATGTTGGAGTGCATCAGTGGGATAGCATCACTAAATTCAGCTACGAGGATCCCAGGGTAGGTGTTAGTGTACGTTGCCTGTTAGCAGATCCAAGTATTACCGGGGTGAACGACGTGGACGTAAGAGTGCAGAGTCTATGGTGTTAGCGCAATAAATTAAACACTGGGTGAAGAATTGGCAACAGAAAGAAATGTAATGTAAATATTTTTTTTTGTGTTTTTTCATTTTCACATGTGGGGCTGGTCTTAATATACTTCTATCTTGCTTCTATCACTCGACACCGAACTTCATGCTCATTGTGATCTGCCGCCATCTTGATCGAAATACGTGCTCTCCAAGTGACAGTTGCAGGGCGGCAGGGACAAACTAGGAACCAAGGGTGGTCTCGCGCCCCTGCCGCCCCGTCACAAGGCCAATTTAGAAAGTTGCCCCCGCTTTCTTACACACATCACAATTAAGGTGACAATTAAGGGTCTTCCCCACTCTTACACCCTAGATTGCCGCTGCGGCAGGGATGTCAGTAGCCCGCTTTATGTGGTTTAAGGGGAAGCGGCAAACCGATTTTACTTATATCAGGTGGTCTAGTGTTGTACGGTGTTCAGATATAGTACCGGTTAAAAAGCAAGAATTTTGTCTATAGTCTTTTATGAACGATGTTGTTTCATCTCTTTCTTGCTTCTCTGAGACTGCCAGACAATCAATGTTGGCCACATTTTTATTAGGTATTAAATATAAAATTCTGAATAAACTTTAGCGTTTTTGGCTCAAGATAGCTATATTATTCATAATACATAAATAAGTGTGGTGTAGTGTTAAATTCCAGGAGATAACGACGCTATAATTTGTTCGACTATCGACTGAGCTGACATTTTGTTGATTGGCACAAAATGGGAAAGAAAAGAGGAAAATCAAAGGGTTCCAAGCAAACATCTGAATCCGTGAAAAAAGATGAGAACCATTCTATTTTGGGCAATGAAATCGATGTGATAGCTGCCGCTCTAAACAGCACAGCATCTACACCGAATCAAGTTATATTCTTAAAAGTTTGTAGACTTTGCGAGTCTAAAGATGGGCCCTTTCTCAACATATTTGATCAAGATAAAGTAACAGCCAAAAAGATTGATGAATTGATGCCATTTGGGGTAAGAACTTTGAATCAAAAAGTTAACTTCTTTTTCTCTTTACATTCATGGTTTAGTTAATTGACTGAGTCCCATGTTTTGTGACTTTCGCATACCTATTTTAGATATCTATGTTGCAATGCTCCAAGTAATAAAGGCAGTGTCAGTCCAAATTGTAACCACCAAAATGCCTTTGATAAACCATCATAAAGCAAGTACTACTAGTGTTAAAATGTATGACTATGATTTCATTATAAACCTGATGGATGCAACAATTGAATGTTGCAAATAAATAATAAACTTGATTTCAATAACAATTAAAGAAATTATGTGTAAAATCTCATACTATGTGTAAAATATTTGTTGTTACCTTACATACAAGGTTTGAAACATGCATTGTCCTGAAAACCAGTGTTAGCTGCTTTGTAAATTCTGGCTCGTATATGTTACAGTTATGAGGTTGCATTAAATTGTCATACAAAGAATACTGAAAGGCTTCAGTTGTGGTGCTCACTTATGCTATAAGGCTTTAACATTTGTATTCTAAATTAACAAAATTTAATCTCATTATCTAATTTTAGATTTCATTCCATTTCAGATTACTGAGAATGATGATTTACCACACAAAATCTGTTTTCGATGTTCAGCGAAAGTGGAAGAATTATATGAATTCATTCAAAAATGTATCAAAACACAAAATAGCTTACGGCATGCTATGGGTAAAAAGGAACCCCTTGTAACTAAACCCAAAACCAGGGCTCTCTGGGAAGAAAAACTCAATAAATCCAATATGTCGAATGATGATATTTGTGATGCATTGATTAAGAAAGCAATGGAAGGAATTAAGGACATACCTTTAAATGTATTACCTTCTAAAGTAAAAGAACCTACACCAGTCATCCCGAAAAAAGAGTCAAAGTTATCATCAAATACCACAATTGTTTCTAAAAAAGAGATAAAAAACAAAAAAGAGGATATTGACAGTGATGATTCAGAAAAGCCTTTAAAAGACAGTACCTCCGTTGAAAATATAAATGAAAGTAAATTTGTTCCAACTAGAGCTTCGAGGTCGCAAAATACCAGTGACAATTTGCTGGATGGATTACAGGATGTCAAGCGAAAAAAAATGTCTAACAAACAAAATGATAAAAAACCATCAGAAGATTGCAAACCAACAGATACTTCAGTTAGTAAAAGTAAAGGTATAAATGATCTGAGCTTTGATTATGATGATTCTAGTTCAAATAGTAAAAGTGATTCTAGTGCTAAATTAGCAAAGGTAGAACCACAAGCTCCTGATGTTAAACCATTTGATATAATGGATCATGTAAGCATGATTAAAGTCAATGGTGTGGGTGTTTTATTCCAGTGTAAGTTGTGTAATCGTAACTTTTTGAAAAAGGAGTTAGTGATGTCTCATGGTTGCGCAAAAACTGGTGTACCCAGAATAGATTTAACAAAAAAATTTGTCCCACCTACACCACCCAAAGTTCCCGTGGTTAAATATATAAATACCAAAGTTGACAATGACTCAAATAAATCACTGCCAGAAAAGAAATCTGAAGCTGGAAAACAAGAAATTGAAATGATCAAACCACCTCTAGAAACTAAGTCTAAACCTAAGATAGGACCAGCAAGTAAAGTGAAACGTCAGGATAGTGAACATGATTCAGTTATAGGAATGACAGTTGTTCCAATGGAAGCTGATCCCACATCTAAGCCTAAACCTCCACCTCCACCTACTAGTAGTTCAAATAATTCAGCAGCATCACCCCTTGTTCAATTTCCGTCAATTCCAAGTCTGAATTCTCGTTATAAACTAGTACCTGGCCCTAATAATACATTCCAACTAGTAGAGGAGTCATCAACAAATCAAGAACCCATTCAAGAAATTGAAACAAGGAAACGTAAAAGTGACCCACCTATTACTGTAGAAACAAAATCTCGTAGACAAAATTTGGATAATAATAAAAATAGACCAAAATCACCTGAGGTAATTGAGGTAGGCATTCAATCACCGGTAAAACCAGCAAATGCGAACGCTCAACCATATCCAGTAGGATTGTTTCAAACTCTACCACATCATTCAGGTATGTTCACAACAGCTGTCACCCCTGAAACGCCTTTCACTACACCTGCTATGAAAAAGCAATCATATACAGTAGTGCAAACTGGTAATCCAAGTAAATTACTTATATCAACTAAGCCCCAAGCAGCTCCCGAGGAACCACCTCCTAAAAGGAAATCAAAGAAATCTAAACCAGAAGTCAAATCAAAGGCTGAGGATAAGCAACCCTTTTCGGTTACTTTAGAAGACACAACTCCCCCTAAAGATGCAGGTTTTTTTACATTTATCAATGTTGATCCATTGCTACAGCCATCTTATGTTTTACCAACTGATAACATAATACAAGAATCTCAGATTTCAACTTCCACACCACTGGCTAAAACTACAACAGATAATAAAGAAAAAGACAAATATACATGTAACATGTGCACTGAATCCTTTTCACGGGAAAAGAAATTGTTAACACACATTCAATCGCATTATAACAAAATGGATGAAGAAGATCAAATGAGAGCAGATAAGACCTCACGAAAAAGGGGTGGTAGGAAGCATTAAAAGGTTCTGTTTTTAATACATAAGTATGCATTTACTGATTAGTAATGTAGTTAACATTATTATATGTCTATGAATAATGTTCAGTTTGAACTAGTATTATACTACGTTATAAATGATTCATATTTTTTTTTTCGAAAATATTGACAAGTACCTTCCTATTTTGTTATTTGTTGTAATCTTTTTATGTTTAAAATTATTTGAAGATGCAATTATCTCTATGTTCTTTGACCAGATATGTGTTCTATTGGAACATTAGACTTAAGTGAAAACATTAGGTAACTTTGTATTAATTACAATTTCTTTTAAGGTGCTATGCTCTTATTATTTTTTCCTCTATACAATAAGTTACGGCCTATTGACTTGTTTTATTGTCACAAAGCCAATCTCAAGAATCAATCAATCAATGTAATTATGAACTAGGTATACCATCTCAGTCCTGTTTTATTCATTGAAAGATTTCTTTTTATATAATTCTAGTAAAGCAAATGGTTATTTAAATTTAGTACTTTAATTGTAAATTTCGTCGTCATCGTAAAGATCCTGTTCGACCCCTGATTAATGTTATTACAACTTATCAAAACAATTGGTCATTACAAACTTATGTTGAGTTTAAAGTATATTTAGATACTAGGGTTTTTCTAAATACCTTTTACACCTACTGCCTACACTCATGCTTTAAAACCGCTATTAAAGATTCTGACATCCAATGTCATAAATTAAATTATCTCACCCAAACGGGTCTTAGGTTTTCCGCTCAACGATTTTTTTTTTTTATAATTAGGCAAATGACCCTACCCCACCTGGTGTTAAGTGGTGATAAAGTCCAAACGCGAAGGTAGCTGGTACACCAGTTATAAACTGCTACACCAACCATCCTCACCTTGCCGACCCGCAAAAATGCTTCTTCACGCCTCTCTTAAAGGACCCCAGATTGTAGGAAGGAGGGAACACGTGCGCGGGCAAAGAATTTCATTTACGAATAGTACGACAAAAAAATGAGACGCCAAATTTCTTTGTTCGTGTAGGAATAGTGGCCACAGTAAGTCGGTGGCAACGTAGACCAGCGCGCGTGGTCCTCTGAAGAAAAGGTGATGGAGGGATAAGCGAGAATAGCTCCTCAGAACACTCGCCGTGGTATAGTCTGTAGAATGCGCTTAATGATGCCACATCACGGCGTAATTGTAGATACTCGAGTTTCTTAGTTACCTCTTCATCGCCAATGATGCGGGCAGCACGCCGCATCATTGTTTTAATGTTTAAATAATGCCTTATATTGTTTTTAACCACGCTATCATCTTAAGTAGCTCCGTGGATCGTCCAATGTACCTTTTGGGCACGTTTTGGCCACGATTTTGTTCGTGTTGTTTTATCTAGGGTATTTAATATCGTTGCTTTCGCTTTTTAAATTCCTTCCGCGCCAAGGGCTTGCTCATCAGACGCCACAATTTTCACTGCTATGAGCGTGGTACCTACAACGATATTAAATACCCTAGATACACCAATACGAACAAAATCGTGCCCGAAACCTGTCCAAAAGGTACACACGGAGCTCCGTAAGATGATCGCGTAGTTAAAATCAATATAAGGCATTATTTATTTATTGAAAGTAACCTTTAATACTTACTACAAGGTCTTAAATAAAACGCATGCGTCAAGGACTTCTGACAGTTCGAAATGCAAGCTCGTAAAATTTTATGACTTATTGCTATATGCGGAAGAATTTAGACTTTAGTTCTTTGACTCTCCGCGCAATTCAGAACGCGCTGTTATATAGCAATATAGCAGGCACGGACCGCGAGGAAAAGAGACAGCTATATGGCGACGTATAAAAACGACACTACGTATAAAAAGTATTTTTTTCGCATTTTTTTACGGAGCTCTGTGGTATCGTGACATTCGTGACTTTTCAACGGTCCGCGCGTGACTGTGAACCAAGAAGTGCTTGAGTAGAGTTCAAGCACTTCTTGATTGGGACACATATTGAGCGCTTATGGTGGTATTTAATATCGGTGGGTGAGGTTTCAAATGTTACACATCATACGTGACTACTGTAAGGCTCGCTCGATTTTTTATACATATTAGGTAGGCATTAATCTCGGGCAAAGTGTCCTTTTTATGTGACGCAGGCAAAAACTCTGTTTACAGACGACGGCGCCTTTAAGAGGCACACCGCCGAACGGACCTCACATCTGGCTCCCGCAAACCTTACGAACCCCCATAGTGGTTGCCCACTGAGGACCCCGTAACTCTTACGGGCGCTTTACGGTATAATATCCACTAAAAAACCCTGCGAATACCCTCTAAGCTGCTTAGTGCGAAACCGCGGGATCCCCGTTTAGGGAGGGCAAAAGTGTCCTGTAAGTATAAATGGAAAGACCATTCTTATTTTGTATTGAATAAGTGTCGATGCGTTAACTCTTATTTTCGCGCCTACTCAAGCAGGGACCCCAGGGAGAGATGACAAATTTTATTTTTACGGAATTAGTTAGTTACATATAACACGAAGAGATGGCGCTGCCGACAGCATGCATAAACAAAAAAAAGATTCAACGATCCTCCTGAAAGTTGATTCTGCTATTCGTCGATTTTTTTCAAAAAGTTTGCTTATTGCTCGAAGTTTGCTGAACTGATTTGGAAAATTGTTTTTATTTTGTAATAGGGGAGGCCAAGAGGGGATTTGGGGATTTACTCGAGCGCGGCAGATTAATATTTATATGGGAAGATACCTTACATCTAGTTGAGTACCTCTACCAAATCTGAGTTCTCCATGTAGTGCTGCGCGCGTAGACCAGCCGATCAGAAGAGTAAAAAAAAACGATAGGCGGAAATACTCGAGCGCGTCAGATTAAGGCATGGTGGTTTAATGAGGGCTACTGTTTTCTGTCTACCCAGATGGCGCCACTGTTGAGTGAGGTCCAGAATTGAAACTTTTAAAGTTTATTAATACACACGTGAAATCAAAGTTTACATTTAAATCATATTTTAATACAAAAGAACCGTATCCGAAACATAATCGGCCATGCCACAGTGATGCGCAGTTCCGTTTTGTTCGGAAAAAAGGAGGACATACTATTTTTTCTTAGCTCCGCTTTTAAATAGCTGACATTCGTTGCTAAAATATTCACTACATTATTTTAATTAGAAATAAACCCGCGTAGTCAACCCACAAGCAATAACATTTGACAGTTCGGAGACCTCACGCTACACTAGCGCCTCTAGCGGCGAATTCATACGCGATAGCCCTCATTACATGCTGGAAAGTGTGTTTTTCAATAATCTGACGATTTGAGCATGACGTAAGGGAGTGGGAGGGTTGCAAAGTTGCAAAAAAAAAAACGATGTCTGGACATTCTCGAGCGCGGTAGATTTTTTTTTAATTTAAAGGTAATAATTAAAGGGTCATGGAAAACATATAATCTGCCGATTTGGACAAGCCGAAGTAACAAAAATCGTTAATAAAGTGTTGCGTGTGCAGCTGCAGCGAAGCATGTATTTACTACGCGCCTCTGTCTATTTCGCTCTTTCTCTATCTTCCACCCTCTCTCACCGTCCCCACATCACTTTCTGTCTACCATTACGCTTGCACAGCTGACTAGCGGTGGGCATTTAAACGAAAAGCGCTTAAATAAGCGCGCTTAAAATATTAAGCTTGTAAGCACGCTTTTAAGTATAAGCTTATCACTTAAAAAGTGTGAGTAAGCTTTTCACTTAAAAAAGTGCAAGTATATTTTTTACTTAAAAAGTGCAAATCCCGCCATCTATGTCTTTGCCAGGAAACTACATACTTCGATCCTTCTAGTCCACTACAGTATCGTAAAATGGGTACGCGGAATTCCTTGGTACTAAATATTTCACAATATCACAGACATAGAACGCGCGACTACAGCGCCGCGTCGGCGTGCCATCTTTCGTGAGCCGGTTAATACAGAATGCGAATTATTATAATGCGACGTAAAAAATGCACTTTTTTAAAATTTGGTCGGATAACCAACGCTTTTTTCGTTAAAAGCGTTTAATTAAACGAAGTCGAAAAGCAGTACGCTTGTCACTGTGACGGGGTAAGAGCGCGTGGGTGTTGTACGGTGTGTTTGCATGCTTGCTTGACGTGTTAATGCGTTTCGTGTATTGGTTTAATGTGCATATAAAATAGTTAAAAGTATGTATATAAAATCAATGAACTTTTAAGTACGCCTGGATCACGAGTATATTAACTCCAGACAGTCCTAAGCTTGTAAACTAAGAAGGAAAGTTCATTGACTATTATAAAAATGTTTATTATAAAATCTAAATTCAATTGAAAATCTTTCGTTTTTAATGCCAATCAATTCATTAGGTTTAAAAAAAAATTTTAATAAAAATTTCATTAATAAGAAGAAAAAACGCAATAAAACACTTAAACACATTAAAAACGACAATAAACTTTTCACGCTTTTTTAAACGATATACCTAAACGAAAACACAACACAACGTCGCGCTTTTTACGCATGCTTTTAAACGTTTAAGCCAATAAGCGTTTAAACGAAACGACAATAAAATTTCACGCTTTTTTAAACGATATACCTAAACGAAAACACAACACAACGTCGCGCTTTTTACGCATGCTTTTAAACGTTTAAGCCAATAAGCGTTTAAACGAAAAAGCTTTTTTTCAAGCGCGCTTATTTTAAAAAGTACAACGTTTAAACGCTTTTAAGAAATAAGCCGTTTTTTCCATCTCTACAGCTGACCACAGGGCTCGTGAACCTCGTGGTATTATATGTACAACGCTCTGGTTAGAGACTGAAATTTTTATTTGTATTTTGTTATATTTATCTTTTTTTTTTAAATATTGAACATGTCTGTGAATATGTGTTGTAAATTTTCGCACGAACCGCTGAAGCAAATGAGCTGAATTTTTTACAATGAGTGTATCTTGGCCTAATTTAACCCTGATTAGATTTTCTAATCAGGGTTAGTAGTCTAATACTAGTTTATCCTAGAGTATGCGTATTTATATCAGGATCAACTTGTTTGGCCTAGGCTAAACTAGTTTATCCTATCGGGCTTAGGACAAATTAGTTTGAACTAGGCTATACTAATTAATCCTATCGCGTATAGGAAGAACTAGTTAAGCCTAGCCAAAACTAGTTTGTCCTGAAATCGAGTTTGGCCGGGAACATATACACTCTCTTTATTTATGAGGGCCTTCCGTACGTTTGCTGGAACTTCTATAATATAATTGCAGATTTCGGCTTCCTTTTTTCCAGACTTATGGCTTAGTTTGATATGGAACACAAACGAGTCAAGTGTTATGTCTTTAAGTATATCGGCTACGTTTTGTTTGTATAAGCACTTGAAAACTTCCGGTTCGGGCATAGGGGGGCGTCCATAAATTACGTGAGGTGTTTTTTTGAACTTTCTGTCCCTACCTCCCCGCCTGGAGAGATGTCGTGAGATTTTATTCAACCCCCTCCCCCATCCCCCAATCTCACGTGAGTTTTTGTCAAAATGTGGGTTTCTTACGTAATCGCGTTGGATTGTTATTGTAAAAAGAAAGAAAAAACCTGCTTCGTGCTTTACAAGTAATCAATATTGCTGAGAGTTACAAGCGTAATATAAATTTAACAATAGAATACTTAAATCGTAACGATTACGCTTAAGATTAAATCCTAAGCTTATACAATCTGGATAAAATGGACCAAACTAGTATATTTTTTTTATTCAATCAGAAAAAAAATTGTGTGATATTTGCCGAGACCCCCCCTCTCTCCAACGTAAGGGTGCGGCCAGAGTGCACTCAGATTCAGATTCAGATTCAGATTTCGAAAACAAGCGCGAGAAATAAACAGTGTAGTCGAAGGGTACGGCCAGATTGCACTCCTGATTTAGATTCAGATTCAGACTCAGAAAACAAAGCGCGAGAAAAAGCAGGCAACCTGCTTAGACTACACTGTTTATTTCTCGCGCTTGTTTTCAGAATCTGAATCTGACTCTGAATCTGAGTGCACTCTGGCCGCACCCTAAGATAAGATGAGATTTGACTAGACCCCCTCCACCCCTTAAACATCTCACGTAATTTATGGACGCCCCCTAGCTGCTGGTACTCCAATAAGGATTTTGATGTGAATGTGATGTTTTATTTCTGGATGGGGGTCTCGGAATTGATAAGCCAGCATCTGGCAACCCTTCCTGTCACATGTGTACGCAAGGTGCTCGTACGGTGCATTTTGCGCTGTGGCCTGGGGGCCATTCGCCTAACGGAAATGCTTTGGAAAACGCTAACGCTTTCGATTTTATATTGTTATTTCTGACCGCCGAACGTTTTCAAATACATCACGCTCATTTTTTTTAATATTGTTATTACCAATGCAAAAGAAAAAAAAGAGCGCGAGGCATTTGAAAACCTCAGACGGCTAGAAAAAACAAAATAAAATCGTAAGCGTTAGCGTTTTCCAAAGCATTTCCGTTAGGCGAATGGCCCCCTGCTCCGCCCCGCTGCGGCAATATAGTGAGCGCGAACGTTAAAGTTAAGAAAAACGAAATGAAACTCAAATATCAAGTTAATTCATTTATTGATTTTCTCTTTTAAGATAAAGCCATAGTTCATACTTAGTCGAAAACACATAATGTTACCTAACAGAGTTGAAATATCATTCGAGACTTTCTGACAAGATTCTGACGCAAGTTAAAATTAGTTTAAGTATAGTTTCGACGGTCCGCTATTAATACAAATTCTCTTACTACCTAAATGTAGACGAAATAGAAAGTTTGAATTACAAGATAACACACCATAATGAGTGTTTTTATTCTTATGTATTTATTTTTCTGGATCTACAAAGAATCTTAAACATAGTGAATTAAATAAAAAACAGTACTTAAGTATAGATAACTAAATGGTTCCTAAATGGATGATAATAAACTTGAGGAATTATTTTATTTCTTTATAAATAGTAGAAACGATGCGCTTGGCAATCTTTTTGCATTAAAAGCCAAGTTATCTGTTTTCGTAAAATATAAGTGCTGGACTCTTCCAGCTTTTTCAAGCAAAACAAAAGCGTTAAGTAGATAGAAGATAAGTTTAATTTTTGTAGCTCACCAACATCTGTAGTCTATTAATCTCAGAGACTTAATAAATTGTAAGTATTAAATGAATCAAATAAAAGATAATCATGGGGTTTGGTAAAAAATTTCACAACTTCTGGCAAATACAGGCCGTCTTCTTCCTTAGAAATTAAATTAAACAAACAAATGGTAAATCCCAGCCTTAAAAAACAAAAGAAACGTTCACAGTTTCCATATAATTTATTTATACGGAGATTTTCATTTGTTTTCTTCGATTAGGGCCTACATACGTATTTTTCATGCAAATTGTTAAAATGACAGCAGTGCAATTCTGTAAGAACTAAATCACTTTTCACCGTGGAATCTGTGTGTGATTTGAAATTAGAAACCGATTTCAATCCAACTCGTACTCTTATTTCAAATCACAAGAGTATGCTACGGTGAAAAATGAGTTTGTTCTTCCAGAATAGCCATAGTACTGCAGGTCCTTCCGTAAGTCGGTACCTACTCTTATTTCCGAAACCCGACGAAGAGAACAAAGACGTATCTATACAAATTTAATACGTAATTCGTTGTCTTCTTAGCCCGCATTTGACAAAAGTTTATAAACAAGATATAGATATAGACTTTGAAAATAAAAAAAAAGAATTTTCAGTAATATCTACATAAAGGTATAGCAATTAGTGTCCGAATAAAATTTAACACTAGCTACATTGATTACAATTACTTTGCAACTACTTTTAAATTCTATAATAATTTAATAACACACATTAAACTATATACTATTAAGTATATCAATCACATAATTTTGATATGTTTGCTGTTTAGAAGGCAGCACCGTTTAACATGCTTTTTTTTTTAATAATTTACTTCAATGATGACAAAACGTTCCTACGCATTGGGCCTATAAAATTTTATATGTATAAGTAGTAAGTATCATCATAAAACACTACAATACCGATCATATTAAAATAATTGTACTTTATTCACTACAGATTATAAACTATGATATGTATTCGTTAACCTACTGTCTAAATATTAAAATGATATGTATCCATGGTCCTATTCTGGATTTTTCCAAAAGCCAGATATAAAGCGCATGCATTCTTTCAACGATTCTTAATTTATATTACTAAGGACATTTTTTTCTTCATTCGAACTAAATCAACCGACTTTTTGCTTTATATCTCGCTTAGAATGGACGCAGTACAATGGAGTCGCCTCTGATTTTGTTTTTTGTTTCATTTTGGGTAAAGATTTGAGTTGTCTAGGGGCGACACACAAATGCAATCACACTCATACAAAACAGGTCACACCAGAGTCATCAGACGTGTCGAAGACTTTAACACCAAGAAAGCATAACATCCTTTTTTGCAAAGTCGGTTCTACAGATCCGATGATGACGCGAGCATCCCCGATGCGACCCGACAGGTTTATAACCAATTAGACTTCAAGGTCTCTAATCTAGCGAAGCAAACTTTAATACAAAAATATACTTATCCTTATAACGGTTATCCGAAAAATAATACCATTTCACTATCTACTGGTACGTGAGATGAAGCCTGGAATCGTTGGGCAGGACCGGATAGTCTACGTGGCCGGTTGTAGGACTAACAGGTGGCCACCCAAGATTCCTTTTCGGGGTGACTTAAAAGTAATTTTCAAATCATCATACACGCAACAATCGCACACATTCGGAGAAGGTAGGGGTAGGTACACTATATTTTTTTTCGTTTGTCTTATTTAGTAAACAAAGCAAAAATGTAATATTAAATAAAGGAAATAACATTATTCATAAAATACTCAGGTAATCATTAACTTTTTAACAAATCTGCACGTTAACTATGGCAGGTGGAACTGCTGCCTCAATTTTTGCGTCTGGACTCCACCGTCATTTAACATCGGGTGAGGTGGAGTCATCTGTTGGGCCTATTTATATTAAAGTGTTTTGAATGGTTATTCAACTAAAGAGGTGCATTAACTCTATTTACCGAATAAGACAAACGAGAACATACAGATCAGGTAAGGTTAGATAAAGTGAGAGAGAGAGAGGTTTCACTTTCTTCTGTACTTGATGGAGTCGTAAGGAAGGTAGCTGTAGAAGGATGAGCTGATGGGGCCAAACTGGACGACGTGGTAGTAATCAGAGGCCGACTCCGGCGCTATTCAGTCGAGGAAGCCGGTGTTGACCAGCTTCTCGAGGAAGAACTTGACGTCGCCCAGCTCCGAGTCCTTGATGCCGAGCGACTTGAGCATGCCCAGGTCACCGTTCTCCACCGCCATGAACACGGAGCGCAGGTGCTCCAGGTCGGAGCGCATCAGGTGCAGTGCCGCGCCGAAGTCCTCGATGGTCTGGGACTCTGTAGATATACAGAATGCTGTTAGTCCTAAAATATTTTCATAATGCGTAATGTGCATAAATAATCCGGCTCTTTTCAAAGCCAGAATGAATAGGCTCCTTCTGGGTAAGCTCGAAGATCCCATCTCTGCTCTCGGGCTGGATAGAGGATCAAGAACCTTACCCATTAACAAATAAGAAAAAATAGTGTCATTTTCACCATCATTATTAGTCGGAGAACTTTGGAGATATTAAGAATAATGTTAGTATCATTTTAATCATCAACCTATTATAAAGTTCCCACTATGGGGACGCAGGCTTTTCCTATAGACGGAATAAGGGGCCATGATCTAACCTGCAGACTTAGTGAGTATTAGTGGGTGCTTACGACTGCAGATGCAGCCGGGACCAACGGCTTAACGTGATTTCCGAAGCATGGAGGATGGATAATGTTTGCGATCATAGACCCAACGCTCTCACAACTTGGACTATTGAGCCCCTCAGGTGCTTCAGGTAGGAGCGCATCAGGTGCAGTGCTGCGCTGAAGTCCTGGATAGTCTAGAACTCTGCGGATTTTCAGAATGCTGCTAAAATCATCACCAAAATCAGTCCATTACTCACGTTACCTTAGTTTAATACCTAATATATGGTTTCCCGAGTTCTGGCTAGTGGCCTTTGCGGGCTGGGAGACCACAACTTAAGGCCTGTAGTAGTTTTCAAAATATTTTATTACGAATTCCCAGATTCGATCTACAATTGTTTTAAGACTAGGTACTACTAAATCCTGCTAACTTTATTTTGTGAAATTCGATCTGGTTACTCAGTTCATACGCACATATTAATGTCTACATTGCTTGGGTACAAGTCATTCCTTTTTCCATATTGATGGAATTGAGCCATGACCTAACACGCGGGCTTAGTGGGTTGGCTGGTGCTGCGACTGCAGATGCTGCCGGGACTATAGATGAAAGGCCAGTTTAAAACCAATTAAACCAATCCGTTTAAAACGAAAAAACCGTTTAAAACCGAAATAAACCATTTTTTTCAATTTAAAACGGTTGGTGTTGATGACTATGTTTTTCTTAATTATAACTACATTGTCTTGATTTTACCGAGGTAGGAATATAACGGAGTACCTATAAACTGTATAAAGATTTTTTAAATGTGTGATATACTTACTGATATTGATATACTTAGCGAGTTTAGTTCTAGTTGGTCCATCCGCGACCAAGCATAGGTATTACCTACCTAGGTTATAAAAACTCTTATCTTATGTTAAAAACTCTGTGTTGGTAAATTAAAAAAATCATTGTTTTCTAAAGATATAAATCAATTCAATCAATTTGATTCGGTTTAAAACCAAACTCACACTCGCACTCTCTCTTTCATGCGCAAGTAAAACGGGCGGCATTGTGTTAGTGATGTCTTTTATTTTTAATCTAGTGTGTGTTATTTAATATATGTATAATAAATAAGTGCTTAAGTATGAAGGTACCTACATACCTACTTAAGTTTTCGTGATACCTAGGTAATGTAGGTAGGTACTTTCTATTGATTTTCTTTATACCTACTTAATAAGTAAAACGAAACATGACGTCAGGTGACCAAAAGTTTACCATAATGAAGTGTAAAAAACATAGTTCTTTTATTTTTGTATGCCAGTTTTCAACCGTTTAAAACGTTTTATTTGGGGTTTAAAACGGTAACATTTTGTTTAAAACGTTTTAAATCGGTTGTTTTACATCTATAGCCGGGACCAATGCTTTAACGTGCCTTCCGAAGCACGGAGATGCTCGATATAGTAAAGTTTTAATTACTCGTCATATGATCGGACATTGCGAAAGTTGCTTAACTTCCACGATTGCAGACTGGACACGTTAACCACTTGCGCCATCGAGCTCCCAAGATGCTTCAGGTAAGAACAAACACAAAGTGCAGAACTTTGCGTTTTTTGTTATTTCCAAAGCGAAGCAAACGTGTTGGACTAAAAATAAACTCATGTTCAAATAGTGAATCAATATACGCAAATAAATAGTGTAACAACCTCATTACAGATGTAAATAAACACCGGATAAATCAGAATACAAAATTACACTTCCAGACGGGAGCTGTCGACGCTTCTATCTGAATCTGATGAATAATGAAATGCAAATCTTCTCAAGTGCCGCGTCCGTCGACGAGTTAGATTCTTTACTGAGTTCTATAGGCTTTGAATTGGTAAGCACAAATCTCCTAGCTCAAAAAAAAATGTGTGCGTGTACTTATGTAGGCGCGTGAGAAGTTATCCTTCTTTCGCATCGTTTAAAATTAGTTTTTAATTGCATGCAAATAATTAATTACAATGAATTAATAAAAAGTCTGGAAAAGGACACAGTCAATAAAGTTCAGTTTTAATTTGAAAAAATAAATAAATAATCAAAATATTCAATTAAAAACGCTACTGAATATAATTTATTAGAACATATGTGATTTGCACTTGTATGAAACTCAAACACGTATTCCGAATATACAAACTAGAAACATGTGGATAAATATTATAAATATGAATACCTATAACTGTTACTTTATTACAAAAAATAAAGATGTGGTTTTTGGTTCTACTACACCAATGGTCAAGAGATGGCGCTGTAGTCTCCTGAATCGCGCTTTGGTTCCGTTGTTCCAGATTAATAAATACTTTTGATATTATAAATATGAATACCTATAACTTGGTACTTTATTACAAAAAATAAAGATGTGGTTTTTGGTTCTACTACACCAATGGTCAAGAGATGGCGCTGTAGCCTCCTGAATCGCGCTTTGGTTCCGTTGTTCCAGATTAATAAATACTTTTGATAGGCCTTCACAATGCAGTCGTTAGCACCCACTAAATAGAGATTCTATTTCTATTTTGTTGGTAGATTTTCTTAATGTGCGGTAAACACAAAAGTAAACAGCATGAAGTTGGTCGCTAATTATTTATAAACCAATATTATGCTAGGGATACAGTATTGAAAATCCCTAGAAGGCAAGTTTATTTCCCAGAGTCAGGAGCTCTCGCTCTTCTATATTTCTAACCATATTGGTTACAAATATATTTCATATTTTTTGACTTATAATTATATGTATAATTTGAAGTGCTCATATGTTTTACGTCGGTCTTGTGCGTGTGTGCTAGCTATATGTTTGGTACGGTTATGCCTTGATCACATGTACCGAATAAACGGGCGAGACAGTAAAATGTTTCTCGGCCGAGATAGTGATGGTAGTTAAAAACTCATGTAAGAGCGCTCGGCCAAGCACTCGGCACTATGTTTATACGTACTGAGTTCTGGGCCGAGATTGAAGGATAACCTTATCACCTTGAGCTATAAAAATAGCCTGAAACCCACTCTCAGATCGACCAAATATACAAAAAAAAAAACAAAAATCGGTGTAGGCGCCCTGAGATTGGTACCTATAGCAGCTTGCAAAATTTAATAATAGCCTCCAAAATATCATACATCTATAAATATTATATCTCAGATTGTAAGTAAGTTTATGTTTTTTGCTGTCGATATTAAAAATTTCTAGCAATAAATACTGCCAATAGAAGACATCTGACACTATTAATGTTTAACTGTTTAGAATATTCTCTACAACATACGTAAGAATCAGTCCTCAGACTGTAAGTGAAGTGCCAAAGTAAAAAAAATCCACCTGATGCCTGAGAATTGGCCTACAGCACAAGTTAGCGTTAATTGTACACACTTATAGTTTTCGATTATCCATATTTTGTCCATTAGAAAATAAGTAAGGCCCCGGGCATCTTGGACTATAATGTTTAATACAAAGGCTTACACAATTGACAGCTTTTAACTTGTAAGGGTAAACGACAGCATGCTATGTAAACAGGTATCTGATTTCGAGGTCCAGAGACCTCGCCCAGATGCTTCTTTTGTTAGTGGACTGTCAACAACCTTCCATTAGACATGAAAACTTTTTAAGGACTAGGTACTACACTACACTTAATATACAAATAGATTGGAATGTGAAACGAAATGATCTCGGTGATTAGAAATTTTGTTTGGTATTCAATTATTTTTCAAATGGTGTACAAGAAGAAATGAAGTAATGGAAGCAATGATTTACACACACGAGTTGTAAAAGATTTTTATCAAGAAAGTAATAAAAAAAACCCCTAGTACTGTTAAGAAAAAATCGTTTTGTTAAAATTTTCACAATATCATCTGTTAGTCACTATAGCGCATTAGCGCTCCGGTTAAGAAAACTTAACAGAATCCATGCTTCTTTCTTATAAATATCGAAACGGGAAAAATGCTTTTATTTAAGAAATAACCAGTTTTTAAGTACTTTCAAACAACGACCTACAGTCCAAGCTAACTCTTCCAAAATACAAAGTTGTGACGCCACTACCGCCAAAAGCTATCTTCCTAGCTGAAGTCAAGCTCACACACAGGGCCGGATTTAAGGCAGGGCAGGCGGGGCAGTGGCCCAGGGATAAAACAAATCTTAAGTGACCCCAGATGTCGGTTTGACAATACGCCCACTTTAGGGACCCCCACACCTCTACATCCGGCCATGCTCCCACATAACATAATCAGGGCGGATGGAGTAAGTCTAGGGATGCAGTCTTTTGAGATATCGATATATATCGAAGTCTGATGCATTTTACTGTCTTTGGCTCTTACAACCTTAGCTTTAGTATTCCATAATTTGCATTTAATTAGATTTTTAAATAGTAATAGCACTAAGGATAAATAAATATTAAATATGTATAAATTTTGCCTTCCATATATCGATAATATGGGTTTTTCGATATCGATATTATTGATATCCATGAATTTAAAATATCGATATTTTGGGTGCGATTTTATCGTATTCTCGATGTATCCTTGCAACTCTAAATAAGTCCTTGGTTATGTGTGTAACCAGAACGGGTAAATGTATCAAAACATTTGTGAATCAATTTATTTACATCTATAAGTATCTACCTGAAAGAGCAATAGCGACTTTCTCGACTCCTCCGAGTGGCTCCAGTGCGTCTCTCGCCTTGCTCCCAAACAGTTTCTCGAGGTAGTTGGGTCCGTGCGACGCCAGCAGGGATTGTAAGAACGAAGCGGTCTCTTCCACTGGTGGTCGTTTAGCTGGCAACAAAAGCAACATGTTTTGTTACATGATAGTGTAGTGCAGTCTGTAATTATTCCGAAATATAGATTAAAGTAATCACATAATGTGAGACTTGAGTACAAAAATATAAAAAAAAAATGTGTGTGTCAGCTCCGACGCACGACTGGAGTTTACTTCTTAAGTTCGATAGTCTAACTAGACGCAAAAAGAGTTTATTTAACTTAAAAAAGATTAATACTGAATGAAAGGGTAAATTAACAAATTAATGAAAATAATATACATATATAAATATATATTTATTCATTACATATACATTTATTATAACTAATCGATGAAATATTTTACATTAAACTTTTTACAATAGTCAATTTCCGATGTGCATAAATAAAGGTACGCTACGACACTGTGCTACGGTGTAGCACTACGGCTGCTACAGCGTAGACAGTAAAAACGTAACGAGGTCATTCATCGATAGATTTCACTCCTCACATTTTTCTCATACCGGGCCCCTTATATATGCAAATCGATTCTTAATGAGTAAACTCCAAAAAATTCAATGGAATAAACAAGAATAATAAAAACGTTTTCCTTTCTAGTAATTTTCGTTCTTAGGTTTAAAAATCTATTAGTCATCTGATCTATAATATGTAAATAAAATATAGTATAGTCCTAAGGTAAGCACTGTAAAGCTTGTAACTGTAGGGAGCTGTAGTCAGAGTTGCATTTAAGATAGGGCAGCGGTAATTACAGCAAGATTTGCAGTCCCCCAAAGAATTACTTTCTACATATTAAGTCTATATCTTTAGTTTTATTAAGGTAGTGCAATGCTATTTTAAGGTAGGGTATTGCCTCATAATCAGGGTTGCCATATCTCAGGATCTGTCCTGAGATCTCCGGATTTTTAGACTCTTCTCAGGATTGTGTGCGGATTTTGTCAATCTAGGGAAATCTCAGGAGTTTTAGAATGTTCAATAACATACAGCTCCTTTTTAGGTACGCAACATCAACAGCCGTATCTTTTTTTTTACATTAACTTACAAGTTTGATTTTTTCACAGTTTCAAGGGACTTGAATAAATGGTTTAAATTTAAATCAATAAGTAAATAAATAAAAGGTTCAAAACAACAGGATTTTTTGATCAAAATCGGGCATTTTCTCCGGACTTGTAATTTATTCATCTGGTAACTGTACTCATCTCATCTCACTCTACAGTTATTCTCTCAGTTTAAATATAAGAAATAATAATAATTCGTGGTTATTATGTAGAGCTGAACAAAGCTACGCTCCCAGGCCTATCCCATCAGGATAGAGTACTATAGGCCCTGTTAGTAAGGGATATTATGGTAAGGAAAATAAATATAGTAAGTATAAATTTGATATTTATGGCGAAATACAAAGCCGTGCCTCAAGTAGGTAGTAGATACGTTATATTCGTGTTTATCATATCAATATTTGGCGCTAATATTTAATTTTATCTCTCTTCGGTAATCGAATCCAGAACCACAGAGTAGGCGACACCAAAGTTTTAATCAAAATATTATTTACGATGAAAGGTAATATCTGTCAGAAACAGTAATGGTAAACAACAAAATTGGCGCCCTAAGCAGTCACGCTTTGGTAAACAAGTCGCCCCCGAAATTTATTAAAAACGCAAGATAATATTTTAACCTTCCCCGAGCGGTTATAAAAATAATATACAATATAAAAAAAAGGGCGAAAGGACCAATTCAATTACCTTTTTTTATCGCTAATTATGACATCTTTATTTTAATTCAGGTGGTTTTATTTTACTTAACCCATTCAACGGCGGCTCAGCGAAATAAATTTTATGTGTCCCCAGACTTGTTTAGTGTCTGAATTACCAGCTCAAAAGGGTTTTTATAAATATTCAATTTTGTTACTTAGCCTAGTAAAACTATCACGGAATGACGCTATGAAAATAATCAAGAGTGTAGTAATAATGTAACAGCAGAGGCTTCATATTTCCATGAATATTTCAATGTAAGTGGAATTATATTTCTCTCTAGTGACGCGTGGGTGGTGTACTACGTCAGACTTCGACTACGTTATTTAACATAGCATTCGTATTCGTAGTTCCAAAATATTACGTTAATAAGGCCGCATTGTCTTGAAATATAGTTAAAGGAAATTGGAAAATTTCGATTATTCAAAATTTTACACATCTAATTAAATAAAACTAGTGTTTACGGGTTAATGCACGAAACTTTATTTATTTATTGACGTTTCGCAGCATGCAAAAGGCTGCGAAACGTCAATAAATAAAAAAATGTCGTTTATTTAAAATTGACGAGCTACCTTACCTTACCTTGAAGGTAGCTCGACAATTTTAAATAAAAAATCATTATTCTGACGATGCAGACCTGAAAAGGCTGCGAAACGTCAATAAATAAATAAAGTTTCGTGCATTAACCCGTAAAAACTAGTTTTATTTAATGAGTGATGTGCGTGAAAACTTAAGAAACAAATATTTGACACATCTACTTTTTATTTGATGTGTCATTAACTATTAGTAAACACTTGTAAGGGCTGCGGTAGCATAATGGTAGTGCATTCGCTCGGATAGCGAAGGGTGCGGGTTCGAGTCCCGTCTGCTGCCTGGTCTGCGTGGAATTTTTTCTAGTAATATTTTCCTTAGATTTAAACATGGAGCAGTTTCATGCATAAAAAACATAAAATTCTCACTTATGAGAAGTAAAGTAAATTTGCTACGGATAGGGCTGCTTGCCGTGGGTCATCTGGTGGTATGTTGCAAATAGAGAAATTCTGCTTCATTTGCAACATACAGCAGCCTATTTAAAGCCGTCACATCATCATGCTTAAATCATTTTCAAAGCATTGTGCTGTAAAATATTAAATTAATGGTGTGGCTTGCCGCAGTGCCGCATAGTGTTGCCTCGGCGTAAATCAGTCTTTAGTTAATATCACTGTACGGTACAAGCGTAAATCTCGCGAAGTCATTACTTTTCATAATTATTTATTTATTTATTTATTTTTAAACTTTATTGACCAAAATATAAATATATAACATTGGTTCAAAAGGCGGACTTAATGCTAAAAGCATTCTCAATATTATTATGTCAATAGTTACAAAGGACATTGTTCAGCGTCCATACATAGTTAGCCTAAGAACCAACAATCATGAAATATTATTTTCTAGGTTCAGAATCGTAAGTAAATGACTGTAAAAACAAAGATTATTGACGGACACTTCTGAAAACTTAAATTATTAGGAAAACTTAAAAAATTTTGAGGTTATGTTTAATATTCAATGAAACATAGGTCAACCTATGAATTTAGTATAAACTCAGTATGAAGTGAATTAATATTACAACTAATTCATTTTATTCGGTGCGATTTTAAAAAAGAACTATTAGGAAAAACTTGGTTAGGTAGGAATCATGAATAAAATAAAAACTGTAGTTTTGCTTCTTTTTTGTTGACTATTTTTCACATAGTTGTATCATATTTGAATATTGTATTTATTTGTATATCACATGTATATTGTGTAAATATGCAGCGTGAATGTGTATCGGGTGTTGTGTTCTTGAATAATTAAGCAGTATGATCCTCTCAGGATGTTGTGGCACAGGTTCACTAGTACTTGGTTATAGGGGCTCTTCTCTTTGGTAACATCGATGGCATATTAGATAGCCAAAATAGTTAAATTTAAGGAAAAACAATCGCAAATAAACACACAACAGGTAATCCGAAACGAGAATGCACTTTCCGGTATAATAAACTACTCTTTGGAATGTACGAATGCCACAGATTACTACGAATGCAAACTGCATGCACCACAACCACAGAGTAACGAGTTTTATGACGGCCCTTCACTTGACAACAGTTTGTCCTTGTCATGCTTAATAAGGAATGAAAAGGACAGACTGATGTCATGTTTTAAAATAGCAAATACGAATAGCCAAGTGAAGTGCCGGCATTAGAAAGAAAGAGTGTTTTGTTTGCAGCGCTGCCATAGATTGTACACATAAAATGGTATTTATTGTCTCAGATTATTTTTTAACTTTTTAATTTAGCTTACTTAACTGGAAGTGTCCGTCACAATCTAAATACTGATAATTATCGCAAAAAATATACTAAGAATTATCATAAATGCCAAATTGGTGTTGGTTCTTAGGCCAATTTTAACATTGTCCTTTGCAACAGTTCACGTTGCCATACCGATCTCATATATCAATCATTTATCATAGCATATTATCAGTTTTATATATAGTGATAAATAGCTCAAATTCTAATATCATCTTTTACTTATCATATCAACTCTAGGGCCCGAATTATAGAAAGATTTTCAGTGATTGATCTAGTCTTGAGCATAGTTAGAAAGGGATGTCGCTATAGCACATAGCGATATCCCTTTCTAACTGTACTCAAGTAATGATCGACACTTAGTTGTCATTCTGTAATACGGGCCTAGGTGTAATTTCTGTGTGAAACGGAAACAGCCACAACACAAAAAAAAAGGTGTACCGTACAGTCATATACATATTAAAATGTTTCTTCTTTTGATTAGACACATTGTAAAAGTAACAGTTTGTCAAAATTTTACACATTTACTGTGTATTTGAAGTTACATTAACTCTAGTAAAATTTAACTATAGATGAAACAAGGCGGCCATATGTGACCAAAAATTTGTTGTTTTTGCACCGCTCTTCGGAAGTAATGTTAAACATTTTATCGTTCACCTGAAATCCTCAGTATCCCACATCGCTAGGTCCAAGTGGTTAGTTATGCCCCGATACCATGTAACTCTATCCGTATGGATATTTTTAGGGTTCCGTAGTCCTGACAAGGAACCATTATACTTTCGTCATGTCCGTCTGTCCGTCCCCAGTTTTGCTTCGAGACTGTTAGCACTAGAGAGCTGAATATTGTGGAGATATGTATATCAATCATGCCGACAAAATGGTAGAATAAAATTTGTAAAAAAAAGGGTCTCTCCTACATGTTTAAATAAGAAAAGGGCTTTGTGGGTCCTGCCTGTGGAATGATATTGATACACATCAGTAGCGCAGAGCTTTGGGGTTTCGTCGCAATCCGTCGATGCAGTCGGGCGCACCGTCATACAAGTATTGTATCGAGACATAATTACGCCATCTTACATGACTACGTTCCCACCCAGACAAAATAATATAATTCAAATGTGGGCTTTGTATTGTGGCGGCGACATCTATATGCCTCACATATATACAACGGATGGAGGAAATCATTACTCACCATCCTCAAGAGATGGCGTTACCTGCATTGCGATCTTAATAGTATGGAAGCCTACATCACGCAAATGAAATTCGGAGGCTAACTCTTCATATATACGATGCCCGACCAACGTCAGTCGGACCGCGGCCCCCGAGCTAACATCACCCAGTTCGGAGGAAGATCATCCCCTTTGGCCTTCCTACAGTATCACTCTTTAGATATATTTTACATTGGCAATCGCCGGTATCTAGTTGACGCTTACCACGCGCTGCAAGCAAGCGGTCTACGCGGTGACCGCGCGCTGACTGCTAGTAGGCTTAAACTTATTGAAGAACTACGAAGAACTTCAATAGGGATGATGACTAATTATTTTTTTCTTCGTTTATCAGGTAGATTATCAAAAAGTATTGGACACGTATTTTTTTATTTTTTCACATAATATAAACATTGCAGAGATATATTGATTTGAAAAGTCGCATGACGTCACGTTTTGATACAATTTTCACTTAAAAGTGACGTCACGAGCCCCTACTCTCAAACTTTGACGCGCTATAAATTTGTCATTTTTTGGTTGATTGCCCAAACAAAAAATACGTGTCCATTATTTTTTGATCATCTAACTGACGGACTAAATAGAATTTCGTTTACTGTACCCCGTCATCACCCCTATTGAAAGTGATCACAAGCTGTATATATCGCGAAAAGCGAAAGTTGTTGGCATGTATAGAGCTCGGTGCCTACTAGATGTAGCTGCGAGCCGTCGTACAATGATTGTATCGAAATGCAGTTACCGTCCATTGGACATTTGAACTTTTAAACTTATGAGATGATGTTGATACTCACCAGCGGTGCAGAGCTTGGAGTCCTCATCGTACCCGTCGATGCAGTCAGGTGCGCCGTCGCACAAGTATTGTATCGAGATACAGTTGCCGTCCACCGGGCACTTGAACGGCTCGTACGGGTGGCAGTATTCTGGAAAATTAACAGTAAGAAATATTTTAATGGACAGAAAATAGATTCTGTTTTCTGAGGGTAAATAAAACATATTTAAAATTTTCTTCAGATAGGTATAACTATTATTAAATAGACTCTACTAAGTATTGCTATTAATTCTTGCGCATGCTTTGTTCTTGTGTATGAAAGTATTTTGTTTGGCATGGTATGCCAAGCATTGTAGTTTATGTACAATGAAAAAAGCGGTCCTACCTTGTGGGCTAAGAAATACTAGGAGAAATTCGTCACGTTCTTAAAGTCTTAGCATAGTGGTGAATGCATCCATTCCACCTGATGATTGATTGATTGACGATTGGAATAACATTATCCGAAGTCCTTGGGTGTATTCCTAATGTAGTAATATATACCACACTGACGGCGTAAATCGACGAAATATTAAAAATAGTTCGCACTATCTTTATTCACCTCATCAATTAAAAGGAATTCTTTTTGTTCGGATGCCATTATTGTTCTTTAAATAAAACAGAAATAATATTCAAATGCATCTCACGTACGCTCGATCATACGTCATATTCGTATTCCCGGTAAATATATGATAGAATACCAGTACAATATGGCGTCGGATTCGTGACGTCATTACCACTGGCCAGTATACTGATGTATATTTCGGAATACACCCCTTGTCTCTAACCGTCCTACATACATACACTCAAGTACACACGCACACACACACAATGCTACTCTTTGTTACTTTATAACGTAGTTTCAAAGATAATTTGATGTATTCTGTAATCTTACTATTTCATCTGTCGCAATCTTGTTTACATTCATTGGGTGTCCATGGTACAGGACCTCCTAGTGTGGGACCCATGGTTATAAGATGACTGTTTAATGTAATATTTTTTTTTTTGTACAAAGCAACAGATTCAACTTCAATGTAAGATTTGCCCTTATTTTTTTTAAATCATGCACTTATGTTTTTGCTAATGACGTTTCATAAATCATATTACTTGTAATAGTATTTTGATTTATTGTAGTATTCTTAGTTAATTAATTATTGTGTATGTGTAAGTATGTGACTCATTTCTTTGTCGTACTTTTCGTAAGTGGAATTCTTTGCCCGCGCACGTGTCAAGAAATCAGAAATCAATATATCTTTATTAAAATTGGATGTATAGTACAACTCTTTTGGATCGTCCAAATTTTTTTTCCCTAGCACTCGTTATGTCCATAACGCAGTTAACTGCGGAAAAAAACGAGCGAAAAAAACTCCACAACATTAAAAGTCTAATGTAACAACATTCACAAATCATTATGTTGTTACAACGTCAATACAATTATGATTTATTTAATATAGAAAACCTGTTGGAATAATTGGAACAGTTCAAACCCAAGCATTTTTGCCTGTTATATAATTAGACACTTATAAGCTTTTTTAATAAGTGCTTTTTTATATTATCTTTAAATTTATATATGGTTAACTCTTGGATATTGCTTAGGATTTTATTAATAAGCGAACGCAAGGACCTTTAAATGAATTATTAATTTTGTGAAGCCTAGTAGCAGGTAAAGTTAGTTTATTTTTGTTTCTTGTATTAAGTGTGTGAACATCACTGTTTTTAAGAAACAAATTTTTATTTTTTCTTACAAGTAATATAACCTTGTACCTTCCTTCCTACAATCTGGGGTCCTTTAAGAGAGGCGTGAAGAAGCATTTTTGCAGGCCGGCAAGGTGAGGATGGTTGGTGTAGCAGTTTATAACTGCTGTACACCTATCTTCACGTTTGGACTTCATCACCACTTAAAATCAGGTGGGGTGGAATTACTTGCCTACCTGGCTATATATAAAAAAACGTATGTATAAATACATTTATAAATATTACATTACATTTATTATATTAAGTAACATTTAGTTTTTTTTCTATATTTACTTTTAGGCTTTGAGTCCGCTATTTGTTGTAAAACAATAAAGAGTAAATAAATAAATAAAAATAAACTGAGTGAGTACTATAATTTGTTTTATAACAAAGTTTTTAACATTTAATTTAATTAGCATTTAAAATTACACCTTCTATCAACAAGCTTAATGTAACAATGTTAATTCAGAACAAAACGAATTTTGCCTACCTGAAAATGATCTCATAAAAGTGGTGATTCAGAATTAAAGGGGCCATTACTAAGAGCCAGGGTTGAGTAACTTATTCTTCCTTAAACGGGGTTATTTGTTGGAATCCCGATCCTCATCCTATTAACGGCCATTTTACTTTCGGGAGATACAAAAAGCTCCTGAAATGTATACTTTTCTGTAAAGCTGAAATTAAATGGTTCATTTTCGCTTTCATTTTTGATGCTTCATCAATGAAAAAACCGAAAATGATATATCCAAATTGACGTATTAATAATAAATTAATATTAATTTTTAATTTTTTACCACGTACGACAAAACTGTGGAATATGTTGTCGCCAGCAGTGTTTCCGGACCAATACGACCCAAGAACCTTCAAAAAAAGAGCGTACTCCTTCCTTAAAGGCCGGCATCGCATTTGTGATACTCCTGGTGTTGCAAGTGTCCATGGGCGACGGTGATCACTTACCATCAGGTGAGCCGTCTGCTCGTATGCCCCCTATAACATAAAAAAACGTCCATCGGAATGTGCTTTCGCGATGAAAGCTTCCGGCTTCCGATTGTTTCCACTAGCATCGATCATGCATCTGGCATCATTCATCGGCAATGAACGACAAGTGAAAATTCTAAACAGCGACAGCTCATTCACAGTTCATTCCTTTTACAGTCACGGTACTACTTCTTCAATCAAAATAACTCGACGCATATGTTGTTCACGCGGGAATTCCACAAGGAACGGAATATTAGATTTTATCAAAAGTGAGGCGAGTGCTACACAAACCGACATCCCTCTCTAACTGTACTCAAGTAAAGATCAACACTTAGTTGTCATTCTGTTATACATGAGCCCTAAGCCTTTGAGGATTGCCGTAGTGATCTGTTTGTATATACGAAACAGGAGAAATATTTAGTGTGTATATTTTCCCTTCGATCAACAATTCTTTAGATAACGGGCCAACGCGTAAAATCCGTCTCGGTAAAAATAGCCTCACTTGAGGCATGTGATCTTGTTTTCAATTAGTTTGGTTAATACACAGCCAATGGGTCGGTCGGTGCTATGTGCTATACATAGCGACATCCATTTCTAACTGTACTAAAGTAATCAACACTTTATTCTGTAATACGAGCCTTAGATAAGATAAATGTCCACTTAATTATGTTCCGGAAGCTGAAGTGCATTAATTAATTCTCTAGTGAGAACAGTTGCGTTAGTCACTCATAAGTACCTAATCAGTGACTGCTGTAGTACATCACTGTCAGTGCCTTTGATTAAATATGGAAACAGTATCTGGAGACGATTAAAGGACATCGATGTAAGATTTGTCATATATCTAACATCGATATCTTTTAGTCGTGTTTGTAACCGCATTCGCATAGACTCAGTTACGATGTGTTTGAATAGGTATAAGCACTTTCACGAAATTAAACTTTGTAAACTAGTGTAAGTCGCGGCACGAAACTCTAGCGTTGACCGTTATTGCGTAGAAGTAAAAATTAAGATGTCTTGGGGGGAAACGAGGTGCGCGGGTGGGCGTGCGTTGCACCGATTGGCTCTCCAGTCGTACCCATGCGTAGCTAGCCCCTCCGCGTTTTGTTCAGCGCTAGAGTTATGTGTCGCGACCTGTAACCTACTTATTTCGTTCTAAAATATTGTGAAGATGACGAGTTATCACGTTTTTGCGGTAGGTTTTAATAATTCGGTTGATACTATTTTTAAGTATTCGTTAATAAATTGTTAACAACTATTTACTTCTCAAGAAAATATTACTAGAAAAAAAACACTATCTTCCGCTATCCGGGTGGAACTATTTACTTTACAATACAATTAAAAGTTAAGTCAGAGTTGATTGTAAAGCAACATATATGGCACAGTGAAACTTGGTTAAGTGGGACCTGGATAAGTGAGAAAACTCTATTATTGAGAGTTGCAATGAGGTCCCGGTTCTTTTTCATTTAATTACCTCTGGTAATGGGACTTTTTGAACTTGCTGGTTAAATGAGATTTGAATTCTAAGACTTTTTCGATGTTTACCTCTATAATTGCGACTTTGAAGCTCAATTACCCGTATAAGTGAGACTAATTAATCAGGTTGTAACACGTTTTGACATGTTTGTTTACATATATTTCGCGTCATCAAACACGCATGCTTTGTTTGTCAGTACTATCTCAGGTTTAGACCTAAAAACAAGGGAATAACGGCACATTTCGACCTCTGTAAGCGGGGGCCTCTGTAAATGAGATAACTATAATTTTAAACCTACTTAATTGGAAAACTGGATTATTGGATACCCTCAATAATTGGTACATATGTCTTGGTCCCTTGAGATCCCAATTAACCAGGTTTCACTGTATTTGTACTTATAAGAGGAATATATCTTCAACCAGTCAGAATGGACAATAAGTATAAGGAATTACGGATAATTACTGATCTTCTTTATCCCTTATCATTTATCAAGACGTGAGTTATATCATGACAAGAAAATTACATGGAAAAATAGTAACGGTTTCTATGACAAGATAGTTCTGAAGTATTCCCAAGGATCTGTATTACGTAGTAGTTGGTTAATCTTCTAATTATTCTTTAATAAGAGGGTTGCAAGCAGCCGCACGAACATTAAGGCGTTCCAAAGCAAAAATTAAGTAGCCAAATACTTCGAGTTATTTCTTTACAACAATATTAAATCCTTAAAAACAGGATTAACGGCTTAGGGAAGTTCAATATAACAAAGTTTTGTTCACCATTTTTTTCAGCCTCGCCGAGTACTCACACAATTTCGCATTCGATGAGATCTTCGTAAATGTAGTCACTGAACTTTGCGTGTTACTTTTCTTCTTGTGCATTTTACCAACACGGAAAACGACATGTTTGTCAAAATATCTCATTTGGCTTTG